CCGCTCTCCAGAGAGGCCTCTAGCAGAGAAAAGGAGCAGAGCTCAGGTCTCCTGGCTCCAGGCATGCCTTTCAACTGATAGGTTATGTGTCTTTCCATTTCCCTGTTGGCCTGACTGCTTTAAGCTGTCCTACTGGGAACGAGAACCCATCCTCTGCCTCAGCACCTTCTCCCACAGCCTGTTCTGGAGGGACTGTGAGAGACGAGGTTGTTTTGCTGCATAGGCCTTGATAACAGCACACGCGGAGAGAGACCGATCTACTCCTCTTAGTTGTCAGATGCCTCCTGCCCCTGGGAGACAGCACATGAAATCATGGAGGCCTGAGCCCCGCCCCTGCTGAAGCCAATGGCAAATTTCCAGTAGACGTGCCTTGGGACAGCACTAGCCTTACTACTTTAGCAGTGCTCTATTTTTAAGTTTTGCCCGTAGGGATTAAAGTAGGGGGGAATAAAACTCCTCTCCGTTTATAGCTTATCACTTCAGCCTGGATAAGTGCTATCACCATCTCCTTCTTGACTATAAAAACGAAACATCCCCATCCTATTTTAGCCTGCCTCAACCAAATTCATTGCTGGAGTAGCGCTGCTGACTTCGGCGCAGTCATGAGTCTAAATGTGGCCTTGGAACCTCGACCAAGCAGACCTCCAGATTTATCCCCTTATTTGTGGGCAGCCCTGCTCTCCCTTCTCGTGAGCTAAACTCTCTCCCAGACAGTTGTTCAAACACGAGCTGAAGTCCTTTGTCTTGCTGCAAGCTGCTGATGGAATGAAATCTCCGCTGATTTCCCTTTTGACTTGCAAAGAAAACTAGCCCCAAAAGTTTTTTCCTCTTCAAGAGAGAGCAGCTGGACTGCAGAGGAAGGGATGTATATGTTGAATGTCGCTCCCCAAAGGAACCGTCCTTAGGCTGTGAGCTGGAGAGACACCTCTGCTCAGGAGGATGCGCGTAGGGAGGTGTGTGTTGGTGCCGGGAGCCGCCATAGCCAGCCCGGGGTTCCGCGTATGGAAAGTCGCCGCTTGTTCTGCCCTGTCTGGAAATTTCATAGCGCCGTGTGGAGCCAAGGTGGCTGCTTCCCGTGCAAAGAGGAAGCGGGGTGGGAGAAGGGGTGGAGGTAAGGATGGGGGTGGAGAGGTGAATAAGGCCATCAGATAAATTTAGAACATCCTCTTCTTCCAAATTTAATCTCTGATAGACAACGAACTTCAAAGGGAGGAAAGCTACTGTGATTTCCTTCAAGCGGTACTGACGCTATTTGTTTGGTTGTTTAAATATATTTTTTTGAATATTTTATGAAGGCATTTTATGGGCATGTGTGTGTGTGTGTGTGTGTAGTGTTGAAAAGGGCCTCCTGAGTAGGGTTATTTTTTCTTTCCACTCCCTCTAACCATCAGGGAGCAGAGCTGCCAAACCATGAAATTCAGCTTTATCACATTTCATTATTCTTGTAGAAAATGCACTTTTTTTTCCTCATAAATTAAGTTTCTTGTGTTACCATTATACTTTAAAATTATTGCACTCTCTGGCTTTTAAATATGTATGGGGAAAGGTACGGCTTGCTAATACTAAACAGATCCTGGCTAACTGTACCTTTCATCACTGTTGTTAAGAAACTCAGAGCAAGACATACAATTCAAACTTTTAATTTCGCTTAATATGCTTTTAATTCTGGGTGAAAAGGCATTTTCAGTCCTGGGAGATCTATTTATTGACTGATCTGGTTCAGTGTACATTTGCCACTTACAGCTTTGACCTTCAGGGGTATTAAAGTGTGATTAAGCCTTGGGTCTCAGATCTCTTTTGGCAGTTTCCCTGAATTTTCCTAATGGTTTTGAACAGTGGCTGCCGCAGCTCAAAAACTTTGAAAGCATTTACATGAAATCTGTGTTTCCTACTAATGCCAGAAAAGAACCATCGCTCCAAAAGGAAGCAACTGCCTAGCTCTGCCTGCTTCCCCGCAGCAACGTCACCAAGCACTGTCCTGCAGGAATCGTTGCTTAGTCTTTGTTCGATGCTAAATATGGAAAAATAAGGGGTCTTAATTACTTAAAAAGTAATGCCAAACTCATCAGAAGCTTATTCATATGAGAGGCATGAGTATCAGCTCTCAAGGCCTGAAGCTGAAATTTCTTCAGAGCAGCAGCGTTATTTAAACGGCATCCTATTTAAACTGCACGGCCACACAAGACTGCTGTTTGTTTGACAGAAGAATAAATTGCATGCTGCATAACCACAAGAATAAGAGCAAAACTTATTGCATCATTGGGGAAATCCCCACATGCAGTCTCTAGTGCAGCTCTTCCCTTGGTTAACTCCAAAAGCTAAAGCAAGATAATGCTGAACACCAAAACATTAACTTGTTCTTGCCTTTGAGGAGCCTGTGTATGATAAACAAGAGGGAAAAGTGCTCCCTCCTTCTAAAGGAGTGAGTCTTTTAGCTAAATAAATAAATAAATAAAGATAGTTACCATGTGGCAATTGTAGGCACACTGAGGTTTTCCTCAAACCCTTCATTTTTCAGTCAAAAGCATTCCCACTTTCCCAGCCTCCGCTCCCAGCGCTCCTCACTCTAGTTCTCTGTGAGGTGAACCTGTGGCTCCCACTTGCCGAGCTAACGATGGAGAACGGTCTCAACCCACGTGCAGCCCATCCTCAGCCCTGGGGAGCCTTCCTGAGTCCTGCTGACCAAGTCATACCCACAGCCTGTGCTTCCATTCACCTGCCTGTAAATGGGCTCAGATGGCTGAACTTCAGTGATCCGCCTTTTTACACATGCCTGTGTTATTTGTCTGCATTTAATATCACATATTTTGTTTCTACACTGTAATCCAGGATTTTTCAGGAATGATTAGAAAGTAAATTGCATTTTCCCTAGGAAACAGGGGATTTCCCTGTGTGTTAATAATAATAATAAACTCATAATTCACACTCAGAAAAGCTAACCTGGTTGACATTGATGTTGTCCAAGGGTATACATAGGGTTCGTACTGAATTAATATTTGCTTTAGCTTATTTTCCACATTTGTCTTTTATATCCTTACTTCTTCCTCAAAAGCAGAATTTAGAGATATCACCTTTTCAGGTCTCTCAAAACACTAGCAATATTTATGAATTTGGGACCAAAAAATGTCTATGTTACTAAGACCTCTTGTTTCAGCCATTTTATGATTTAGCATCTTAAACAAATCAGCTAGGCTGCTTCTGTAGAGATCAACAGGCCCTTCTGAAAGTGGCTCATCCCCTCCTGTGATATAAAGAGAAGCTGATGACTAGCCAGAGACTATACCTCACTTATAGACAACTGCCATCAGGGAAATTAGTGACATGAGTACTTCTGAATTTTGGGGATCTAACTTCATACATCTGTTTACTGTATCATGAGATCCCTGAAAAAGGTATGGTAGGGACATATAAAGTTAAGAGAAGCACATTTTGTTCTTAGGCACTTCCAGAAAGATTATTGCAAAACTCCTGTAAGATAAGTTTAATTATTTCCAGTAGAGAGATAGAGGACCTCGATTAGGTAGGATAGTATATTGCTGAAGAGCTGAGAGGATTGGGGCTCCTGAATCAAGGGCCCCAGTTATGATCGTCCAAGTTTTGGATTTCAAAGACCATCGTATCTTAGGGAGGGCTTTCCTATTTGCATATGCTGATGTTGCCTCAGATCTGTGTGGAATGAGACCACCAACCACTCTAAAAGGCCAAATATCTATTCTGTCTCTAAAGCAGAACAGCTTTGGCTGGTTGCTGCTATGGTCTGAGAAGAAAGGGAATGTCTCACCAGCCTCCTATCTGTCTGTTCTCTTTCAGTATCCTTCTTCTGTAGAGATGAACTTCAAGAGGATGATGTGGGACCCAACAAGAGGATTTGTCATCCCCTCTCATTCTTTCGTTTACTCCGGAGTACTCAAATGCACTGCAAATGTCAGTGGAACTGTGTTCACTTCCTATTACCTAACACAGAGATTGGGTGAGTGATTACTGTGTGCCAAGGAATGACTGTAATATTTCTATTTTGTAGCTAAGCCTGTGGGTATTATTCCTTGGTTACACTCAATTATATTTGATATATCTCACTGCTTTGTATCCTGAGCAAGTTCAGACTGGAACACTTAAAGCAAATTCATTTTTCCTCTTTTTTCCCGTTCAATAGAACTTGGATTTGATCCACTCTTGGTTTTGAAAAACTACCAAGTGTTGAGGTGGTACAAAATAGGAGTAGTTTATCCAAACCCCACCAAAGCTCAGTTTGTTTTGATAGAGTGCAGTTTACATTAAAACAACTGCTGGTTTAGGATAAACCAAACAATGTCTTTCTTCTCACTTCTGGTCATTAAACATTGAAGATTATGGTATAAAAATCTCATTAAAGTGCTGATTCAAATCTTTACTTTTTTATATGGTTTATCCTGGTGCTTCACCATACCGTCTCCCTTATATTTATAGTTGAGTTTCAGTTCAGAATTGAAATCTGAATTAGAAGCAACTAAACATTAGATTTTGAAGTGCTAGCCACTTATAATTTCTTTTTCCTTTGTTTTCTATGTATTTTCTTTCTCTCCTCATAGACTCTATTTTTCACATAGGAGAATTTACTGTGACTTCTTTCCCATTAGATCATTGCATCCTTCTAGACAATTAGCATTCAGCTTTAAACAACAGGCTGATAAATTTGTATGGCAGCCAAATAAAAGTCCTGGAAATATCTCTTTCTCTTTTTTTCACTGCTGAAGTAATTATTTATTATTACAATCCTGAATGCAAAGCTAAAAACCCATTAGGTCATCCCTGTTTAGCCCAAAAGGACACAGGCAAGACCTTACTCTATAATGTATTACTGTTTAGTGGAAGGAGTGTACTTGGTATGTGGCACCACAGATAGAGGCGTTGCCTCGATGCAGGCTTATTTCAGATTTGATGCATTTAAGGCATCAGTAAGACTATAAGACCAAGATCTGTGGATCCCATTCAAAAAGGAAAGGAAGCTGGTCATCAGAGGGCAGGAGAGACATGGTTCATGTTTTGTAGACATTAACCCTCTCTTAGCTATGCAAATGTTGAGGCACTCAAAAGGATGAGTCACTTTTGAAAAACTTTTCTGAATTAGGAGTGAAGGGAAGGAGAACAGTAATATCAGAATGGCTGTGGAGCTGTTGATGATGATTGAGGGTTAGAGCCCAACATGGCAAAAGCAAGAAAAATAATTCATATATTACTGTGTCCATATGTGATCGATTAGTTTGATCAGCTGTAATACAGTAGTGTTCAGCCATTTATACAGGTGATCTAATTTTTCCGTTGTGTTGGAGTTTCCAAAATTGTTCGTGGAGATGTCAGAGGAAGGTAAGGTATTTTTGAAATGGTGAAAGGAATGGATGTTGGAGAGGCATTTGGAGTGTGGAGTCCATCTTAAATGTCATTGATGCAGCTAAAGTGCTGTGCAGTTATACCTTTGCTTTTTTCATTTCAGAGAGCAGGATACAGAACCTGAATCTGACAGCAACTCCCAGAAAGCTGATGGTTGGAGAAACCCTCTTTTTGAACTGCAGAGCAGAAACCTTCATCAACGGCCGAATTGAATTCATATGGACGTGTCCTAATGGGAGAGTGAGTTGATGAAAATTTGGAATTGTGTTTTGATGCGGTCTCTTCCCACCCACCCCAAGAAAGATCTGTTCACAGAGCTGAGCAAATCCTACGTATTCATTATTCTGAAATATAGCCAACCATTTGTAAGCATACAATTGATCGTATTTTTAGTTCAAATGAGAATAAAACTTATCTGACCATCTTGATCCTGCAAATTGAACTGCAAATCACAGGCTAAATGAATGCTTGCAAGAAAAGCCAGAAGTATATGTTTCTTGTTGGAAAGAATAGCTGTCTCGCTTCTGTTGGCCTCTGTATTGATCCGAGCTCACGGTGGCAAGTCTCAAAGGCAGCCAGGAAGGTTACAAATTGTCAGTCTGTTCATCCATCTTGGCATTTATTAAGCAGGTAAAAGTGAAACAAGTTGCATCTGCTGAAATCTCACCAAAGAATTCAGTTTAAGTTCTGAGTGCAGGTTCGTGAGCTTTCTGTGGAATGCAATACAGAAATGCCTGATTTGAAGTTGAAAATACGAGGGATGGAGTATTTCCTCTGATGTGCTAAAATCTTTCAGTTCTCCCAAGGAAAACCAGAGGGAAGAAAGGATATTTTCAAGATCAGTTCAAGATTTGTCCAACATCAGTACTTAAGGTTCTATGCTCAGAATTAAAATGATTGTTTTCTTTTAATTCAGCAAAATATGCATTTCAAAGAAGCATCTAAGCCGCTTGGAGAAAGGAGAAAATGTGACCCTTAAAATGTGATTATTTTTGGACTTCTTCTGTTTACATAAAGCAAGCATGTTTCATTTTGTTTCTGTGAAGAAACTACAGAAAACATGTATAGAATTTACAGAGGTGCAAGCAATATGGTCCTATTGAATTTTGTTTCTTGAATCCCGTATGATGGAAGAGAAAGTGGTCTTTCTTCTGTTGTTTTTCTTTGAACCCTCCTTAGAATTCTAGCATAGTAAACGTAAAATTTCCTGGCCAAACCTATGTGGTCAAAAATCCTACCCGAAGCATAAAATGCTTTTCTCAAATTCTGCAGGAATTTGCATTGGCATTTGCCTGTTAAAATATATCTTTTGTTCTTTTAGAAAGTAGGCTTTCTTTTTAAGACAGATGAAAACTGACTTTGACCAGGAAAAAAAACCCCACAACAATACGCACAACTTGGGCTCTACAGAAGCCAATGGTACCGTGCCAACGCTGTTTGCACTGTGTTGGATGGTCCCTGCGATCTGATCGCTGAGTAGGGCTGATCTTTTATGCATCCAGTTATTTACCTGCCCAGATTTCAGTAGAAAAGCACCACAGTTCCACTCTGTTAAATTATGAGTGTCTCTTATTAGACTTGTTAATGAGGACTCACACAAGAGCTTTGCCTGCTGATTTGTCCTGTATATTTTTTATTTCAGTGATGGGGGGATAGGATAGTTTTGACCTGAATCACTGCTTTTCTTAACAGGTAGACTTAGAAAGGATGAAAAAAATAATCCAAAATTTTATGCTGCTTTTTTTCTGACCTCCAGCACCCTTATCCTCGAAGAACGATAGACCAAAGTGGTGTGGTGTATAAAGTTGTCAGTAGCCTGAAAATTGAAAATGTCACCATGGAAGACGGAGGCCTGTATGTATGCAAAACATTCAACACAACAAGGCTGGAGGCCAACGTCACGGTTACAGTGTATGGTAAGTTCTGCAGCTAAACTAGAACGATACTGAGAACAAAGGTTGCTTAGTGTAAAGGATAAAGATGCATTATTAAATCAGTTGATATGCAAATGGCCTTAGGAAGAACGCCAACTAGTTAAAACAAACGTTAATAGTCCGTAATTTATAGTCATTTGATGAAAGGGCCAGCACCCAACACTATGTTTTCAAAAAACCTTGGAGAGTTAAAGATTGAGAAGTCTGAGCACGTGGATTAACTGAGAGCTGAACTGTTTCAAAAAAGCTGGCACCAAACGTGGCTGCTGATGTCTTAGAAAATTTGGCCTCCTGGAATTCACATGGGCAATAGATACCACCGAGTCCAGTTGAGGCCTTTTCACACACTGCCATAAGGGCACTGCAGGTATTACCGATTCCCTACTTTAAATATAAGATCTTTCATTTGGAGATGAAGCATACTGGCTGTGGCAGAGCTTTGCAGGGAAACTGCTATAACAGCTTGTCATTCCATTTGGTTGTCTGTAGCTTCTGCAGATCTGTATTGCAAAGAAATCCAGTGTAAACACAATAATATTCAAAGAAGTGAAGCACTGTACTCTGGCAGGTCTGCCATTACTTGACTTTCTTTTTTTGTTTCTCTTTCAAGACAAACCGTTCATTACGGTTTCACATAAGAAAGGGCCCTACTTCGAGATTACATCAGGACACAAGTCATTGAAACTGGCTGCAAAGGTGGATGCCTTTCCTCGTCCAAGTGTTAGCTGGTGAGTAACGTCATCTTGTGCAAAATCAGGAATGTGTGACCTTCTTTTGGGCTCCTGACAAGAACACGTTTTCACCGTTCCTTAAAAAGACAAAAGAGCTGGTGGTGCTCATAGCTTTGGTCTCACAGTTCACCTAAGGAGATGTGTCTCCTTTCTGCAGTGCCCTATGCTCTGTGAAGCTGGGCAAGCCATACCTCTTTTCCATGCTATCCTTTCCCTCCTGGGTGTGCAAGAAAAGTCCCTACAACAAAAATGTGAGTTTCATTTATCTTGGACACAGAACTATTTGGAAGATTCAAATAGAAAGCGATTGGAGAAGGGCTGTCAGCCTAACTGCATTACTGGTGGTCAGTTTGCAAAGAGGCAGCCCTTAACAGAAAGCTGCAAGAGACACTCCTAACATGAGAAATTCTTTTTATCTCTTTTAAATATTTTTCTCCACTCCTGTGTCACCAGCAATGCTGTGTGGAAAATGAATCTGGTCTGTTCCCTACCAGGGACATATACAACTCTGGCCTGTGCCGCTTGTAAAAAATACGGATGTCATTACAGCATTAGTTCTGCCCTTGATTTCTAGTCAACAACAGAGGCAATATCATCTGAGTCATCTCCAGCATCTTCCAAACACCATGACAACTCTCAATCCCCTACTCCAACTTCAGATCCTTGCAGGCAGCACAGAGAATCCTGCCAAGTAACCTAAAGGCTCCACTGGGACCATGACAGGTCAGCTTAATAGGAGGTGCAGCGTGCCAGCAACTCCAGGAGACACTGATATCTCTCTTTACCCTTTCATCTCTTTTGTCCTCTCTCTTGCTACTCTGCTCACACCTCATTTTACAGGGGGTCTTTAACTACCCCATCCATCTCCTTATACATCTTTAACTGTATGAAATCCTCTACCCGAGCTGGCATGGGTTTGCCTGTCCTGGCACAGGAGGTGGCTGGTATGCACTGGCACCTTCATGGCACACTTTTCATTGGCTAGCTGAGGTCCGCTCAGGGTGGGCTGGCAGTTAGCAAAAAGTGTTGGTCAGGGACGGGTTTGCTGTATTTTTTTTAGCAGTGAAATAACATGAAGTTTTCTAATATTCACTTCAAATCAGACAACTCAGCCCTGCCAGGGGATATTTTTAATTGTTGCAGTTTTTTAGGAGATGGGAACCTTTTTGTGAGTTGAAGTGGGGACCATCCGCCTTTTCTCTGCCAAAGCTTTGTTCTCAGGGCTCAGCACGGAGCATCGTGTGGTTGCTCTCTGGGACCACCAGAGCTGCCTTCCCTGTGTGTTCTAAGCTACAGCTGTTGATGTTGGAGGTCTCTCAGTACAAGTTGTTTAAATGACTGTAAAGGAGGTTTGCAGCATTCGCAGACAGTAGGACATGTGTCTCAGCTTCTCCTTCCACCAAGCCCTGAAGCTCTGTGTGTGGCAAAGTCTTGCCTATTTGATATTCAAAACCCAAATCTGCATAAAGGCCTAGCAGTGAAGAGGGAGAAGGCCAAGCAGACTCTGCTATTATACTCTTAGTGAAGATTCAAGACTGTAAATTCCTCACTGGCCTTCATATTGACTGTAAATTCTCCAGGACTGTAAATTCTCCAGACTTCAGTGTTTTCAGAAGCAGTAGAGGGTCATACATATGCATTGAAAAATAATTCTGCTTAATTAATTTCTTGTTCTAAAACTGACGACTCAAATTTTGGCAAACCAATAGCTTACTGCACTTTGTATTGCACATCCTGCTGTTGTTTGCTGTCCAGCATAATTCGGCAGCATCTAGATGTACATTTCTGATTATAATTGAGCATGCAAGACATGCATTAATTCAGACCCATTAAAATATCCTTTTCCTGTCTGTTGGATGAAGCCATCCCAGAGCACTGCAGATGCTACTCAATCAATTTTGGTGTGGTGGGATAAAAGAAATAGATGTCCAATTCAAACAGTGATTACAGATCTGTGTTTCCCTTGCTGTTTCCAAAGGATGACCCATTCTAATTTGGGTAATAGTCAGTTTTCTGAGGGCTAACATGCAAACACATGATGAGTCTTGATGGGACTTTCAAAACAGGTACAAAGATGGCAAACTGATCAAGGAGAACCACACTTGCTATGAGCTGGATCCAATGAAGTACAGACTGAGCATAAGAGATGTGAGACCCAAGCACGCTGGAAACTACACCATCGTCTTGAGCAATGCAGAATACGGCCTGTATAAGAACCTCACCATGCAGCTGGTAGTGAGAGGTAAGGACTTTGTGTTTATCACAGCTTCTACTGGGTTCTTTCCCATTTTTTGTGTGATCCAACTTTACCAGTCAACAGGAATGGGTGACATTCCTCCACGTTTAGTTGATAGGAGCTGATACGGCGCCGGAATAGGCTGACTGATCTTTTTAGAGTTCAGTTCAGCACAAAGCAGAACTGGGCGAAGGCTGATGTTAGTGCCGCAGAACTGGGAAGATGAGTGGTCCATTTCAGAATATAACAGGCGTGGGCTTTTTCAGCGACAAGTATGTGTTCAGAAAGGGTTTCCCAAGGCTGAGCGAATGAAGAACTCACTCTGGATGACCTCTACAGTATTTTGGGATGCTGACCACTGCACAACATGGAGAGCAACCGTTAACATACTGACCACCTCATAGTCAAAGGGACCCTAGATTCTAAAGTGTAAGATCATGGGCATCTATGCAATTAAGTGTTTGGTAGCAGATAGTCATCACATATTAGCCACACATAACAAGCATTCAGAGAAACATTTTTATCCAGTTACAAGTTTGCATTTCAGAAGGTCTGTGCATAGATCATCACCTTATTCAGGATCTATTGCAGATCAATCACATGTCACCTCCTGTTAAACAAAAGCAGCACCCATTCCCAAATAGGGAGCTAACATGAGGAGATAATCTGAAACCTGGTCTTCTGAAGTCACTTCATTTCCACCAAGATATTGCACCTCAGAAATAGACTGCAAGACCTTTTTGTCAGGACAACACCTCTGCAGAAGGAAGCAGAAATGGCTTGAAAGCGAGCAAAGACAAACTTAGTTTTAACAGGAGTTTTGGAGGATATCTAGTAGTGAGCTCTTGGAGCTGGGGGCATAGTTTCCCAAAAGAAGTGGTGGAAGTTTTACCCCTTGAGATTAAAAAACTAGTCTGGGCAAAGCTTGGAGAACATCCTGTTGGGATAGGAAAAGTCCCAAAAGGGCTGACGGAAGGAACTAGATGAGCTACTGTGTCTTTTATGTCTCTCAATCATCCTGCTACAGAAATACTTTCTAAGTCTGTATTTCTATTTCATGTCTTGTCATTTATCTGATGGGAGCATTTGAGAGACAGGGTCATTTTCAAGGGAATCCTGGGAAAACTGAAGTAAACTCTGTGCACTGAAGCAGGTTCATTTGACACAGAGGAATAATAGATATTGGAATCACATTTATTAATCTCCCTTGCTGGGATAATGAAAGACAGAGCCACATTATCTCTTTGAACATCCACTGCCTCTTTTAGTCCATTGAATGTGGGAGCAGAGAGAATGAATCATGAGGCCAAACAGGAGCTCAGCAAAAGTTAGCTCTGCTTTCTTTTGTATTTCCTGAGGTTCAGTCAGGCAATGAGATCAACCAAGTTATTGATGCAGGTTTGTTTTCTTTTCTGTCATTAATTCTTTTCTCCTTTTTATCTTTACACCTAAAAATATTCCCAATTGTCCTGTTTTTCATCATTTATGTGCTGCTGTACCATGCAACTTCCAGCATTTGTGTTTTTCTCATTTCACCTTTCACAAAGGAATGATGTCTGACAAATGGAGAACTGGCTGTTTGGGCACACTTCACCTATTAGAAATGCTAAATAAGATATGCTAGCTTAAACCACCTCAATGATAACATGAACTACGGTGTGTGATTTAGGAGTGGAGAGACCTAGGAATATGTTTAAGGTCAGCTACTGCAGCTCAGCTGATGCGCTAAGCTGCAGTAATTTGCTCACTCGAGGTTGTTTATCCATAAAATGGTTTTGCAGTCTTGTTTGAGAACGGAAACATTTAAAGGAAGAGAAAATTAAGAATGACAATAAATCATCTTGTCAAGGTAAATATTAGTGTTTGCATGCAAAAGAGAATGTTTAGTTGAAAAGCAGCCATTCCCCAAATAGGCATATGAAAAAAACAAACAGACCTTGTTTGCATGAACGAGATGCTATTTCAGGATTAAACCATCCCCTGCTATAAACTACAGTACAGCCTTTCATCTTTAGTGTGTGTACAAGCCTGTGGTATTCTCTCTCTCACAGGCGGTGCATACCTCGCATGGTGCTCATTGTTAGCCTTTCTGTGAGATCAGCACAACGGAGACTTTAATCAGGAATAATTATTGCATTGCAAAAACACCATTTCTCAGAGTATGCAAAGTCTAGCACCTGCAGGAGTGTTCCTGACTGCAGAAGGTGTTGCATGTTGGAGCACAGGAAAAATAAACAGCAAGTGTTTCTTTTTTTGGTAACAACAGATCATGCCAGAAATGAAGAGCATGCAAAGGAAAATATCTGCCAAAGAGTGCCATTGCTTTTAGGCTAGTGGCTGCAAACACTGAGGAGGACAGGCACGACACACAACACCCAGGAAATCTATATTGCCTTTGCCAGGCTCTTCTCTGCAGCACTAACCCAACATGCTCTATCTGAAGTGCTCAACTCAAAGGCAGGGTCATTTTGTCCAAATGCACGTGGCCAAACAGGAGTTCAGCTTTCTAGATATTTTAGGCAGGGATTACCTTGCCCACCATTGAAACACAGCCACCTCTGAGCTGGAGATGGCCATGTTTGAAGAGGGGAGATTTTAATGTCTCCAGTTCAAGCCATAGGCAGAATGCAATTACTGAAGCTGGAATTTGAACACAAGGATTTGCGGACTTCATCAAAAGTCCTCTTGGCCTTGCAGTGAACACAGTGGTTGGACCATCAGCTGGAGCATCATTATGTCTGAAAGATGGTGCTTGCAGCAATCCAACACCCGATAAGCCTCATGCTGAGGGCTGGTTATCTACCAGCTCACTATTACTGAGGAGCAAGTAACATTTCTTCTGAGTAACAGCATTACGGTCCCTCCCTCCCCAAGCCAGGGCCAGTCTTCTAAATCTCAGAGCTGCATGTGTGAGAAGAAGTGAGTCCTCATCTATATCGTTAAAGAGAAGATGGAAAATTATTTAAATAGGCTTTTCAATGAGGAGATAAATGTTACTTGGATATGTTTTCTTTTTCTGCAAAGGGACACTGCACAGAAGAAATTATAAGTGAGCGTACAACCCCCTCTCCTGTGAGTGTCTTCAAAATAATATGTCGTTAATGTTCCTGAGCAGCGCAAGTAGTATAATTGGCAGTCAGCGTGCTGTGGCAAACCCATCACTGTCAATTTGGACTAGGTGTGGAGGAAGTTTAAAGTTAATAGTGTTGTGAATTGTTGTCCGCAAACAAAGTATAAATAGCAGCAGGACTGCATTCATCAAAATGCACTGCATTAATTTTGCAGTGTATTTTATTCAATAATAACGGCAGCGGAAGAGGCCCCTTTAAACGAGATGAGAACAAGATAAGAAGCGCGCTGCCTAACCCTTGCAAGCCAGGAGCGTATAGGCAGCGTATCTCTTAACCTGCCAAAAGACCGGTCCTGCCGCAGGCTTTCCGTGGCGTCACCCTCCCCATGCACGTACACTGCATGCACAAGGTATTTCACTCCGTGGTAATGAGTGAAACATTAGGAGCTATTTCCTCCAGAGTTTGATGTGACCGTAAAATTGAAGAGTATCTACAGGGAGCAGAGGTATCCATCGTGTCAGCTCAGCAGAGGCAAGAAAGAGCAAAACGGCCAAATTCTGCGTAGGAACCCATAGCAATGCTTGCCCAAGGCAAGGACCTGGCTGATAACATGCAGGAACGTGGCACATGGACATGTGCGCTTGGTGCCTGGCCTGGAGGAGACTGGCCACCAGGAGCCCGCTGCTATTCAAAAAATGTCTCTTTAAGAAGTGGCTTAGCTGTGCCTCTGGTCACTCGTGCTCCCACTGCAGCTGGAATTTAATCTCGCAGGAGCACATATCTCCCTTGCGGAGTCACGTTGGCTCATTGTAGGACTCAAGTCCCCAGGAGGTAGCTGATTGCATTTTCAAAATGCTCCTTCTTTACATATTTACAGATCAAACACTGTCCAAGAAACGGCGGGTTGCTGTGTTTTTGTTTTGTTTGATTAAATTCTTATTGAGAAAAGCCTCAAGAAAATAAAGTCCTGAAGAATTTGGAAGGGAGGGAGCAAGGAGAAGGGACAATCCTAGCAAACAGCTGGTGGCTGCACATCCAAGGAATCCAAGAAGGAGAAACGTGGGAGACAAGAGTTATTCCAGGCTGGAGTACAAAGCAGTTTCAGAACAAAACATAAACAAAAAGCCTCAAATCTATTTATGGACAAGCAGGCTGCATTTCATTCTCACCCTTGCACAAGTCATCTGCATGTATCAGGGTTCTTGCTGAGCGCTTTATGGAGCAGTCAGCATGCTCTAACCACCACGTTGTGAGCGAAGATTGTATTGAAACCTGAGTTCATTCAAAACGATGGGATGAATAATCTCCTTCACCACTTTGTTTTTCTGCTTTGTCCCTAAGTTGCTTTCCTGGGCTGCCGCGAGGCTCTTCCAGCAAATATCGCTTTGGGTTCCTGCTGCTCTAGTCCATTGAAATTACATTCCCTTGTACAGTCCTTGATCCCACAAGCTCCTGCTTTGTGCAAGAAGTGCAGGATTAAGTGCTAGAAATAGCCGGTACCATAAGCAGTAGTAATTCGCAGGCTCCTTACGAATTCCCTCTCTGCTGAGCAGGACTGAGAGGAAAGGGGTGCACAGAGAATTTGCGTGCGCGCTGACATGTGCTATCCCTCGCCTTCTGCTCCTAGCAAGAATTAGCTCCAGAAGACGAAGCGAGGCATACGGTGCCCCACTGTGTAGTCAGCCTACCTCTTCATACCTGGTTCTTTTGACATTGCCGGATTGTGAGAAACGCACATTTGTTTGGACTATCAGTGCAACACAGCTGATGACTGGGTTAAAGGACTGAGCCAGGTATGAGAAGCAGGGCTATGAAAAATGATCTGCCTTCACCTTGCCTGCATGTTTGGAAATCCTGCCAGCTCTGGTTTTCCTTTGTGTATCATTCATCTCCTGTGTAGCTCCTTGGAGGAGGACTCATTCAGGAAAAGTGAAA